AGGTCTAGGCTTGAACTCCCCCTGTCAGACTCTGACCTCCCCTCCAGACATGTGCGTGGCCCCAGACCTTTGAGGCTCCTGCTTGGGGACAGAGGGACGGCCATGGATGGCCCTTAGCTGTGAGCTCCCAGATTCCTGACTCGCCTTCTAAGAGCGAACCACGTGCCTTTCCCACCCTGCCTCCCCAGACCTGCAGTGAATCAGGTTGTAGGAGTTCAGTTATGGCCTTCTAGAAATAGTATGCCACATCCCCAAGCGGCAGGTAGCTTTGAGTAGACAGTGAGGGGAGCATCTGGGGTGTGGGGAGGGTGGGCTCAGGCCCCAGCTCTGTCCCAGGAGGGAAGGGGGAGCTCAGTTCTGCCCCACTTTGCTCAGGAAGCATTCGTCCCTTCCAGCAGCTGCTCAAAATGACCTCCTGGTGCCAAGTGTCCTCCTTTGGGTCAGGGTGGGGGGACGACAGGAGGGACAGGTCCTGCTGTCCTGGGCAGGAACCTCACTTGGGACATCGAGGCCTGGCTGGACCCTGTGAGGGCATGGAGCCAGCAAGGGGCTGCCTCCGCTCTCTCTCTGAACCTGTCATCGGGCAGGGTCAGTGAGGACTTGACTTGGAACAACCTATAGGAGAGAAGGAATAGAGCTGGGTGGCCCCTCGAGGGGGCCTGGTTCCTCAGTTTACCCATGTGGCAGTGGTTTCTGAAGGTTCTTCTGCTCCAGATGTTTTGGGTTTATGCAGAATATGCGGAGAGGGGATAGCGGGGTAGGGCCGAGTGGGTCGGCCCCTGAGAAGAAGCAGAGTGATTGTTCTGGGCTTGTTCTGGGCCCCTGTGAACCCCAGAGACCCCAGACCGGCTCCCCATGTGGGGATGGTGAGGGCAATGCCCATCTGTCCTGTTTGCTCTCGGAGCTTCTCCTGGGGCAGTGGAGCCCCAGGAGAGAATCGTGAGTCCACTTGACAAATGGGGATACAGGCTCAGAGAAGGTGTGTGAGTTGCCCGGAGCCACAGAGCAGGGAGCAGCAGCATCTCCGCTGTGCCAGGAGCGCAGGGAGTTGTGGACACGTGGACCTGGGCAGCAGCGGGCCAGCGCCCACCTGGGCGAGCATCAGGGAACCAGCCTGCTCCTATGTTCAAGGCTAGGGGTGTGTCAGGGGGAGGCAGCTGCCTCTGCTCCCCAGCCTGGCCAAGCTAGGCTGGGAGGGGAATGGTAGGTGGGGATGGGTGAGGTCAGGGTCCAGGGGCTTGAGGTCATCTCAGAGGCCTGGAGGGCCACCTGCTGTCACTGAGCAAGGCCCAGAGGTTCGAGGGGCTTCCTCCTAAACCCAGCACCCACTCATTCTCCTCTGGGAGTAGATGTACCGGGGGCCAGGCAAAGGGCCCCGGGAGTGACTGTGGCGGGGGGACTGTCCCCCACACCCCGTGCAGTATCCAGCTCTGTGGGTTGGCACTGTGACGCTCCTGCCCTGTGAGGTTGTCGTGGGAATGACATGAGGTATGCGTGCGGACAGTGGGGCCATGAAACCCCCGATCTAAGACCTAACGTCGCCTTCCGCGAATCTCCCCAAACGGCCACTCGCTCCCCGATCACCTCCCCCTTGTCTTCATGGCCAGACGGAGGGTTTGGCTCATTAAAACCAAATAAAAAAGGAGTTAGTGGGAGTGGCCGCCCTGTGAGTAACCGATGAGTAACCGGGAGTTGGTGCTGGGCCTGGGTATAAACTGGGGGGGTGCCGGGAGCTCTCACAAAGGACAGAGGGAGAACTGTCCTCCAAGCGCACGGAACTCTGGACCTGCTTGCCTGTCTGCCAGCTTTGGGACAGCAGGATGCGGGAGGCGCCAGGTTGAATTTTGGGCAGAGGAGGGCTGGGTGGCCGGTCCCAGGGCCTCCGAGGGAACGCCCACTCTGTCCTAGCTCAGGCCAGGCTAGGTCGTGGGACTTGTAACTCCACGGGCCAGGCCTCTGGGTGTGATTGCACAATCCTGTGAGATCTCTACCCCACCTCCAAGGCGCTGAGCTTGGAACGTGCCCTCTCTAAGGC